TAAAATTAATAAATGCCAGCCTCCACTCTCTATCTCCCCCCCCCCATCTCCACCCCTTCAAAGGCTTGGCACACTTGTCAAATATGTTGTCAAATGTGTTGTCAAATGTGCCAACGCCAGCCACGCCAGCGATGTCGTTCCCGCCCATGGAAAACTACCACGAGCGAAAAGACACAAATGTGAAAGAGCATTCGGCTGGTGTCAAAAAACCTGAAGGCACGCACGCTCTTCTCTCCTATTGTGGAACTTTGTACAGCTCCCTTTTTGGTCACCTGTCATGCACTATTACGTACGTATGTATGTTGAATTTCTTTCGCACCGTACGTAGCCAACCGTGCTAATAGGTGCTGTATGTATGTATGGTATATTAAACTTCTTTCGCACCGTACGTAGCCAACCGTGCTAATCGGAAGTGCGGGGGAAGGACAACACATTAAAAGATGAAAGAAAGATATATGTACAATATCAATTGTTTATTTACGTTTTTATCCTCGTTTAGTAGTGCTTATACTTTTTGCTTGTTTTACTGTTGCTATATTTTGCTAAGATGTTCATACTGTATAATAAAACGCATCGTGTCATGCTGTGGTGGATTATAAGTAAAACATTCATAAACAACAGTCTTTCTCGCTTTATACAGCTCTACAGGTATAGCATCTTGACCAGTCAACCGATCGACCTTCTAGTTTTCCAACAGTATATTTCAAAGCAGGCAAATCGTGGACTAATTTTATTGTCACTGCTGATGAAGCTCTGAAGGTCGAAACTGATCTGATGTTTGTCTACGCCTGGTCATCTATATATAATACATTGTAATAAGTGTATACAATATATAGATGAAGGCTCAGCACCCTCTTTCAAACGTATTCAAGTCGAACCAAAAAACGTTGTGATATTTCGTCATATACGTTCGCAATTAGAGCAGCATGCTTCATTCACAGGCAAAACCAGATGGTTATTATACATCACCATGTGAGCATTTAACAACGTGTTTAACACTGATTCCGTCATGCCACCCGCCCCTCTGCCTTAAGTGTGTATCCTCTTCCCTTGAGAAATGTTCACGCTAGAGGCCTACAAATAGGTATGTTCGCGTATCCGAACTCCCTCTAGACCGCTGCAAAAAATGCAATTGAATTAATTGGGGAGGGGGGTCATGTAGAACCTTGTGATAGCAGTTTATGTCAACCCGGGCGAATTTATTACATTATTGCAGGTTTCCAACGAAATTGTACAAGCCGCTGAGTGGTCCGGATCAGATAAGTTGATGACTGGTGAGTGGTGGGTGTCCAGTGGATGTTACATCACCCTGTAATAGGACGTGCCGACCTTTAGTGCTTAACATTGTCATTGTGCCAAGGTTTATGGGTATACAGTACAGTATTTTACATGTACAGATTATCGATAGTTATTAAATTTACTGTATACTTTAATGACATTTCAACTTCAGGAAGTAATGGAATGAATAAAACATGTTATATAATATGCGTAGCCTCGTGCTCACATGATTAGCCAGTATGAAAGATGAATGAACGTTGCCAATGGATTTGACGTCAATTCAGAAGTTCACAATTTTGTTTCCAGAGTAAAGCCCATTGAGCTAGGAAGCTCTTTTCTCAAGGGCGACTCGGCCGACAGACAGACAACACCATGCGGCATGATACATGCACAGAATGAGAAAAATAATGGATGGATACCTGTTCAGTCTTACACATATATTAATACAGCCACAGGGAAATGCATCATCAGCCATGTTCAATCCACTTCTGGATGAGGGTCTCTGCTGTTGCCATCCCTCACAGTCCTGTCTGTGGTGTAATAAAACATATAATCTGACACGCACCTGCACGCGAGCCGATTTCATCGGTCCATCTCCGTGATGGATCTTCCTCAGGATCACAGTGTTAGAACTTTTTTTTTACGCACACTGTAATATGCGTAAAGGCTCCACACGTGCTCTACGGTCACTTGGCATGGCTGTTACACATCAGACACGCTGTCTCTCAGTGTGCCCGCAACCATTGAGCACCCTACAAAGGAATGCACATGTAATACATACATGACTGTCATTATAATTATAAGTGAACGTGTACAAACAGCACAATTGTAGCTCGGTACAATAATAATGTGGGTTGTTTGTCTATATTTAAGACCCAAACAAGATTTATCTACAACTCTGTCGCCCGATGAGGCTGGTTGCAGTTAATGGCGAAACGTCGTACTCGAATTGTAAATGTTGTGGGGTTACTCTCCAACACACCGGTGTTCTGAACTAATAACGAATTGGCACGTTTTGTTTACGTGACAAACCTTACTAATTGGCTGTCGGATGGTGGCCGGTTTCAAGACACATTTATATTTACGCGATCTAACCCAAAAAAACCCCTCTATTATGGATAATATTGGTCGCGAAAGCCAACGTGTTAAATTGTATGACTATTTATATACTGACGCCTTGTTCAGTGCGGGTTGATAAATTGGGAGCACAGGATCAAGTTCTAGATGTCACTTGCCACTGAAGTTAAACTCAAGTTACCGGGTTCACAGTGGAGTGCACTAACCGCTTTAGATTGAAACCGGGCATAAATAGAATATCGTCACAATTCCGTGTCATAGATTTGAAATGGATATTATTTATTTACCCCAGCAAACAGCCATTACAATTCCATCATGAACTCTTCACGCGTCTTATTGTTTAAGCGTGTGACAGTCCATTGACATTCAATACCTCTTGGTTAATGTTATTTTTTTATGCACATGAGCGCCCATTCACGAATCAAAAGTTACTGCCCAATGCCACGTGCAACTCCACCGAGAGTAATTCATTTTGTAGCCCAATGACCTCACGATGTGAGAACTGATTGGGACAGCCGGTCCAATGTTGCTTCTATTTTTTTTATGACCCAGCCGCGATTCGCATTGAGGGCTCCCGTTGGCACTGTTGAGACGAAGGCCTCGATGGAATTTCCGGAGAGTAAATGTGGCCAACAATTCAGTGGAGGAAATAGAGAACAAAGAGCCAGCAGTGGTAAACAAGCCTGAATAGGTAATAGTTCCTAGCATACACTGCATCCGCGGACCTTTGTTCTTTGCTAGTTGATACGGTTATGTAACAAACGAACAAGAGAAACAGGTGGAGGAAAAAATGCAGTAGATAGGATATACCATATGTTACAACTATAGTCACGGAGTAATTATGAAGCCAGGCAAGGGGGGGGGGACTTAATATGAAATGATGTATTCTATTCTTGGGCATGATGGCAATATGCTCAGAAGCTAAATGCCAATGTTTGAAGTTTGCTCGCCACGATGGTGCTTTAGCAGAGAGTTCATGGAGTCTTGCTATCCCTACTCCGTGGAAGGAGTGCAGACCACAGTGATTTACTACGACACGGTCCATAGTTTGGTTTGCGTGGCCACAATCGCAGTAGTGTGGATTGTTTTTTTTGTATTTCCATTTTACGAAGATGTGCACGAATCGGCCTGTTGATGTTCTTATGCGGATTCCGGTTGGTTACACCAGGGGGGCGAATCGGAAAGGATACCAGAGGGATATGGAAGGGGAGGAAGGAGCAGGGGTCGTCATCTCGATCGGGGGGTTTGTTTGTCCAGGAGCAAGCGCAAGAGGGCGAGAACGGGCCAGCTGCGTGGCAAGGAGTAACAGCAAGCATGAGATTGCGCTCACGACTGTAAAAGTCACGTGCACCCGGTAACAGAAGACACTTCTTGTTGTTGTACTGTTCTCACACGCCCATTCATACTGTCAGCAAGGACCTACGAAAACCTCGGCTTGTGACGCTGCGGTATTATTGCGCGCACTTTGTAATCCGGCCAGGTGGCTCAACCGTCGAGTGTGTGTGTGGCTCGCAAGAGGAAGTCTGCGAGTTCAATTCCTGGTTGCGCGGTTTAAATAGGCAAATCGACCTCGCGTGGTCGCTAAAATTAGTACTATTTCGCTGGGGAAGTCAACAGTTGTTTTTGAGACTGAGGTTTTCTTCCTCGCCAGGTAATGCAGGAGGTCGAGGGTTTCGATCCCGACCCTGACACCTGTATATTTGGACTTTGCATGTTTTCCCCGTGGTCGCGTGGATTTTTTCTCTCGGGGTCCTCCGGTTTTCCTCTACACATTGAGAAACGTGAATTTAGATGATTTCGCTGCTATAAATGACCACGCGAGCCACTTTGTTGAGCTACTATTTGTGACCAGATCGCTTCTGAAAAAGCTAATAGTTCAGTGGGCTTCACCTTGGAAGATAAAAAAATATATATAGTTGTTTTATCTCCATATATATAAAAGGCAAAGTTGTGATTATGTGTGTCCGTTCGATATGTTTAGCGTTCTTCCAGACCAGGGGCGGAGCCAGGATTTTTAGCCCGGGGTGACATTCAACAAATGTTAATTTCAAGAATGATTTATAGAGAGTCGGGCTGTTGAACTAGACGCCATGGGTTGGCGACACACTCTGACAACGCAGTTGCACGGAGTCCGCCAGACCGAGTGTCGTACACTTATACGCAGAATGTTTCAGATTTTCGATTTTTTAAATATTTTTTTAGGGGGGTGACAATCGTCTACCCTGTCACCGCCTCTGTGCCAGACAGAGAGGAGGTGGGTGGGGGCAGCGGTGGGGGTGCTGTGAAAAAGAGCTTTAGAGCTCTTTGGATTCCTCCAGGATCAGTAAATATTCTGACTCTGGACGGGACGAGAGAAGGTGGTGGGGGCACGGCGGGAGGGTGCGGGGTGACGCGGGGGTAGTGCACGCGGGGGTAGTGCACGTGGCGATGGGGGGGGGGTGACAGGGGGGTAGTGCACGTGGCGATGGGGGGGGGTGACAGGGGGGTAGTGCACGTGGCGATGGGGGGGGGGTGACAGGGGGGTAGTGCACGTGGCGATGGGGGGGGACACAATTAGCCCCGCCCCCCCACCCCCTCCCAAGCCCCCCCCCCTCCCAAGCCGCCCCCTCCTCCAGCACGACCGCGCCGCTCTCTCCACCCCCTCCCCCCCTCCCCGTGGCGCGTGGGCGGGAAGCTTCTCGCTCGCCGCCGCCGCCGCCGTCACCGCCGCCGCCCACGAGTCCCCCTCGGCAGAGACACGCGCGGACAGTGCCTGCGGCTTCGTGATAGCCCGAGGACGAGGCGGAAGAAGAAGAGGAGGAGGACGAGGTGGAGGAGGTGGTGGTGGGTGGGGGCCCGTGTGTGCACCCGGCCGCCAATGTCAAGGTAGAGAAAAGCGCGCGAATGTGCCGGGAGTGAAAATAAGCAAATTAATAAAAACAAAAATCCGCACACGTAAATTGTTGAGGTACGGACGACGGTGGTGGCTGAACTGGCGATGTGCGAGTTGATGATGGTCGGGAACTGCCGTAACTGAACTGTGCACTAACTCGTGCGTTTGCTTCAACAAATGCGGCTTTTATGAGCCAAGCTATATACTGTAGCAAAGAAAAAAAAACTACCGCAATTTTTATTTATACTACACAAGGGGACGCGATAGTCGGGGAGTTGCCGCCTGTATTTGCTCTCGATTTAAAAACGCGTTGCCGTTATTACAAATGTAATGTTGTTCCCTGCCGCCGGGGTTTGTATTGTTGAATCGCGAGGCGTTTACGATGCTGCTCTATTGGAGAGGAATGGAGGGGGGGTGGTTGCTGAATGTTTGTGGTGATGTGGAATTGTGTACAGTGCTCTATGCTGGCCAGATGCCGTGGTGCTTAAAGGACTTTTCCCTCTCTCCCTCCCCCCACTATTACTCTTCAGTCTGACCACCTTGCCCTATCCCACCACCCCCCGTATCCTAATTATGCCTTCACTTCCCCCTCATTAGGCGGTATCGTAGGTTATATTGTCGTCTCGACAACCCACGAATACCAAGAACCTCGTGCTTCGACACCTTTACTTCGCCCACCGCTCTCAAACTCTACCCCATTCGTCTTCCCCTCGCTTGCCAGGCCATCACGGCGCTTGTGCCAGGCTAGGTGCACCTTTGAGGCCACGTGAAGTGGGGAAGGGGGTTCGCCCACAAAGAGGTCACGGGGTCAGTCGTAGGGTGCCATGGGTTGACTGAGATGACCGGCCGATGCGCCACCACCTGTGCTCTCTAACACTGCCAACTTGCTGTGGTTTTAACCGCCCCGGCGCTCAGCTCGTTGTTGTGAGCGTCTCTCCGCCCTCCGTTGTTGCTGGAGGGCGACTGCCTCCAACTCCCCAGCAGCGTCCTTCACGAGCCTCCTCCACAGAGGCCGAACTTGACACCGCTTGGTAACCAGTCTTGGGCCATTCCAAGCAGCTCCACATCCTGTACGACATCAGCCCCACATCCTGTACGACATAAAACCCCATCTCTTTTTCAGCCCGCGCCGCACCCATTTTTGCCCTCTAGAATCAGCCAAAAAGAAGCTGCTTGGTTGGACGTGCGATAGTTTGGGCATGCGGGTCTACACGACCCAGCCAACGCTCATTGACGGGGGACCATGTCCATATCTCCCAATGATGTGTCAGCTCACACAATCAAGTCTGGATTGTAGGCAGGCCAGCCTGAATGTTTTAAACGGGTGCAGATATTGCTTTACAGTGCTCCACGTTTGGCACGGATAGATTATGGAGGGCATAACTGCGCACGAGGGGTTGGTCTGGCCAGAATCACCCATAGCCGCCTTTGTCTTCCCAGTCCTGATATTCACACACCATGCCAGGCACTCAATGTTGAATCGACCTCGGGGAGGTCCATAACCAGCCTCGGAGCGCCACGGTGGTGAGATGTTAACTACCTCGCCTGGTATACAGGAGGTCGTGGGTTCGATCCCGACCTTGACGCCTGTATATTTGGAGTTTGCGTGTTCTCTTCCCGTGGTCGCGTTGATTTTTCTTCGGTTTTTCCCTCCACATTTTCTGTGGTCAAGTCGCTTCTGAAAAAAGAGCTATGTACGTCAGTGGGCCTTACTTGGTAAAAATACAAATTGTAGCCATCAATCGGCGGGTGGCCTAGGACTTTCGAGTGCAGAAAATGCTTCTTCAAATTTTTCGTAAATATAGAGAATTGTAGTGCAACTTAAAGGGACTCTGCACGAGTCGTCTCAGGGGTAAGACACTTTATTAATGCCCAATCGCACACCAAGTTTTACCGCCAAAAGACCTCGTTGCTCCAGCCACGTCCCCCTTTTTATCCTCTCCCTTCGTTTATTCTCGGCCTTCCAGAATGTTCCCTGTCACTCCTCTCCCAATCTTATGTCTTCATTAACTGCCACCCCTAACGGTCTTTGACCTCTTCCCAATTTCTTGCCTTTTCCCCAATTGAACCCCAAGGCCAATCATCTGACCTGCTTCCCCTATTAGTATGTATCTTGGTGGTATTAATGTCGATCATATTAGTGATGTTATGAATGTGTAATTAACAATGGTATGAATTATTTGCAATTTACCTATTAGTGGTCCTGACCACTCATAACATATCTTATATCATGTACCATTCCCACCCCCATTTTTTGACTCGATCGATTGAATGAGTGACCCTGTAATAAAGGTTACAGGCTATAGTGCTATGTGGTTGGCAGCAGAGGGCAGTGCAACAAAATCAATTGTACTCTTCTCCAACATCTGTCCAGTTGCTCCCCACTGCCCAACCTGCACTGACCAGTTTTATAAGTATGGTCCAACAAGCCTCATAACCCACACTGTTTGGGGAATTCCTCATCTAGCAGTGGATTGGCAACAAGGGATGAACATGTACACATTTTAATGGGCATGCTTGGGTTTTCAGCATTATTGTTCAAGTATTTTTCTAGAATACACTCTGTGAAAAAGTGTCTACGAGTTGACATGTCAGCATGACCTTACGCCTTAACTTGGAAAATTGCTTGCCCTGACATGTTCGGGGCAAGTGAAAATTCCAGTGCACTGACTATTTTTACTGCATTGATCAGCGACTACTGGTATCATAAAGCGTTGTCTTATACAGTTTTATATGCCATGTGGCTACAGTGTGGCTGGCTGCTGTTGGACATCATCATAGGGCTGCCTTTAACATAACTCCTGATGAAAATACACCAAGACATGGAGGTAAGCATATATTGGCAGGAGATGGCCACAACAATATGCAGTGTAATCTTTTTTTACAAATGAAATGAAATCCTCTCCATATTCAAGGTGATGGATGTGAGCATTGTTGGAAATGAATTAGTCTTGCTTGACACAGAAATGGGTTGAACACTGCATTGGCAAAATTATTTGATGAGCGAAATTGAAATGCCACCATTTTAAATCAGATGACATTTTATATTTCACTTGTGGTTTATTAATCCTTGCTTACACCACAGATTGACTTTTGGAGCATTTTTGAAGTTTTTAATGAACAGTAAAATCATTGTTCATTTGAATGAACCCATGTTACTGTTGCATCTGCTTCAACTGTTAAAAACCAATTGGACTCTTATGTATTTGAATCAACCACAGTAAATAATTTAACATTCACAATTTCCTGAGTGCAAGATGACTTTTGGAGGTCTATAATTACAGTAATGAGAGCAAATGTGCACTACACTATTATCCCTCACACATAAAACCCAATTCTAAAATACAAAATACAAATAGTAGAATGTAATATTTTAAATACTTTCCAGCTTTTTAAAACATATCTGCGGTATGCAGTAACTTATTATGTCCACTTAATGTATCTTAAAATACTAAAACTTATAAAATAATAGAAAAACGAAGTATAAATTAATATTACAAAGCAAATATAAACAATTACCGTACCATATACACACCACCGCACCGTATAAGCACACCATTGTTTTTTGTAGCTATGGGAGGAAACCAGAGAATGCAGATGAAACCATGCAGAACAGGGGCAGAGCATACATACTCCACATACAACAAAGGCCATCCGATTAGTGTGGGGTATTTAACTGAGGCCCTATTTGCCGTGAGGCACAAGCATTATCATATGCACCACCCTGCCACCCCACGTTCCGCTTTCTCTATAGCAGTGTAATTCCCAGGATGCATTATTATGCTTTGCATATTTTTCAGTGTTTCTTCCATATACTATTGTTAGTGTCCAATGTGTCCAATCCATGTCACAGAAGGTAAGATGCATCAATTGAAAACTCTAGTATTTAGGCATAATTGGTATGATGGATTTTATTGTAAAATTAACATTTCTATTGTACTCCAACCTGTTCTTGTTAACTTTATTTAATAATTTTTGATATACTGGTCCTCCTGCAATAATTGCCTCTCGATATACAATCTTATGAGTTTAAAAATAATTTTCCTTCCAACAGCTATTTAACGTTGTAAATCTGACATGTACATGCCGTTTTTCTCATTTATCTTTGTCCCAAATGTTCTGCCTTTTAATAAAGTTATTTAAGTATGTCATTGAATAATATTGGTTGCGAACGCCTACGTATTAAAATGTCATAGTTTGTTCACATTAATTTGTTATTGGTGTGTGGCTGATGGTAGTGGTGCTATAATGTACGTTTACCAATTTCTTAAACAATATTTATTTTTGCAAGCTCCACCAAAAGATAGCCCAAGTATATTTGATGTCTGAAATAAGCCTAACCCAAGTGGACAATCTTGTTGACCCATAATTCCTGTAATCCTCTTGTTAAATATTCTGCTGGTTTATACATTTCAGAATGCCTGCTACAGATTAGCCCCCATTGGCATTACATATTTTAACATAATTCGAATTTTTTCTAAGATGTAAAATGCCAAATTACAACTATTATATTTATACATTTTCAGGAACATTTCAGAATTGTTCAGAAAATTGATTGTTTCATTGCACTTTACATTTAAATATTTATATTAATTATTCTTTAAAACTTCACTGATGAACCTTTAGATGTTATCTTGATTTGAAGCTTTCGTTGCTGTAGGAATCCATACTCTTTGGTTCTTTCGGTAAAGTCACGTAGTTAGAAATAAAATTAAACAAATCACGACGTTTCGATCGCAACACAAGCGGTCGTCATCAGGCAAAGGAGTCGGCCTCTAAAGGCGAACTGTTTATAAAGGTTTGGGGATGGGCGTAGCCCAAGTGTATCAACAGCACCAGGAGCATGGGTGGTGCACGAGTGCCAATGCAGCAACAATGCCAATGTAGCAGCACCTTTAGATGTTATGTTCATGTTCTGGTTGTAGCAATGTACTAACAGTACTGAGTAAATATATTTGCTTAACATAGTTAACTTTCCTACAGAAATAATATGCTGCATTATGTTTGGGCCAGAAATACAGCTTGCACTATTTGTGTAATACATACTTAAAAAGGGGTTCCATTACATTTTGGAAGCGTAAATTTAGTTTTTCATAATGGCTTTCTTCAACTGTCCATCGAATGCAACAGTGGTTGTGGTGCAGCATTACTGTTTTTCTTTTGGCTCGCTCTGTTGCATCCTTTATGTGTGCTCATTGGGAAGTGGAGTGGTGCTGGACCAGTGGAGAGGAGCGTGTTTCTCTGGGTTTGTTGTGCTGTGGGCAGGTCTCGTGAAAAAGCGAAGCCACTTGGTAATCCTAGCAACGGTTCCGCCACGTCAGCTATGAGGCCATTGATCCCTTACTCTGATGATGGGCTCTTATGTACATTGGCAGGGCTTGATATATACTGAGTAATGTGTGATGTTGTAACTTATGTACATAACGCTGGATACTGTTTAATTTAGTAATTAAATTAAGTAAATTTTTGGCTTCCACAGGTAAGGCAGATTTTAATGAATCATAACAATTATGCTGACATATGCTATTTAATCATCTGTTCACTGTAGTTCAGTCTTGCAACATATTTCATTTGTTTATTCCCAGCCACCAGACCAATTGGTTAATTGGAAGAAAGGTTCTAAAATACATTGTTTTTTGCAAACAGATACATTTAATGTTATTTTAACAAACTGTACAGCTGTCAAACTTGTGGCACTCTTTTTTTTAATACACATTCAACATTTATTCTATCTTGGCCAAAATTATTGTCGTGAAGCAATGAATGACACACATACACGATGTTGACCAGTAAAGGATTAGGGTCCCAAATATGAATTGTTCATTGGTGCTATGACTTATCTTTCCTGCTGCCCTGGCTTTCTATATAATTGTACTCTATTAAGTGCAGTGGGTAGTGTGACATCGGAGTTTATTAACACAGTCTTGACACAAGAAGACATTACTTGATCACCCAATGTCGGTGGTGCTCAATGAATGACTCCCGTGTTAGCAAACTGTAGTAAATCCAGCACAACTTATACCACAATATGCTAATAAGCACAAAGCAAAAGTTGCGTAATGCAGTCGCAAAAATTGGTCAGTGATTGTAACTATTATCCTCACCTATTCGTCCCTGTGGCCAATATCACCTTGGCATCTCAAAAGGCAGCAATGTGGAAATGTCGACACTTTTAAGTGTCTACAGCAGTGATTCGAAAATGATCACTTTCAAATAATGTCACAATTTTTCGTAAATTACTTAAATGATTAGATGAATTATTGATGACATTTTCATGATAGTGTGTTAAGCACACCATGAAATGTAAAATTAATCTTTGGCACGGTGCTATATGTCAGTTAAAATTACATGTCATGTTATTAATAAAATTGGGACATTTATGTTGTATCTATAATCCTAATTTATTTCCCTAGGTGGATTAATCTTTTGTCACAGGGATTCTGATTATAGAGCACGTGGTAATGTGTGTATCCACCCATAATAATGAGTCCTGATGACAGTGAGCTCATAATGCATGGATTTAATAACGAGCATATTGAAGTAAAATTTTCTACATTTACCTTAAGCTGTGCTGTTTGACCCTTTGGGGATACATGTACTCATGAAATAGCACATCATCTATACAAGGAATAACATGCAACATTATCTTTGGATGATGTCCTCTAAATATAGTGTATCTATTAAAAGCATACCAAATATAAATTTGCTTTATTAGCATCGGCCATTATCTATCCACTGATAGATAGAAAACCTCCCCAGGATGTTACCAGCCTTCATGCCGCTGTGATGCAATAATCCTTCTAGATTTGAAGTTTTCGTGACTGCAGGGATCCATACTCTTTGGTTCTCTCGGTAAAGTCACGTAGGTATAAAATAAATTATATTATGAGAGTTGCCGTGGCAACTCTCTCCCACTTGAGCAAAAACAATTATTGCTGTTTTTTCTCACCTGATTATGATTGCTTGTGTTGCAATCGAAACGTCGTGATTTAATTTAATTTACCGAAAGAACCAAAGAGTATGCAATAATCCTTACCCAAGCACATGAGATGCTATCACTTTGTGCAGTTGCCATTCCTTCAGGCATGTGTCCTTTGGCTGTTATTACCTCGTCATTCTCGACCATCGGCCACCATTTCCTATAGCAATTTGTCATGTCAATATGTCTCTAATAGGCTTTTGTTCTCTGTTTTGTATGTTCCTCTACCTCTCAGTAATTCCTAGTGTGTTACCTCTCCTTCCTCCTTGCTTCTTTATGTGTGTGTTCAGCTTTTGTTACATTGTGTACCATATGTTGCATTTTTATTTCAATGACAAGTACGTGTGTGGTCGCCAGTGAAGCATATTAGGCTGATACTGTATATATAAAATGTGTCATGGCTGCTATACTTATCCTGACTTGGTAGAGTGTCACTGTCAAAGTTACTTTCTTACTCTTGCACTGTGTGCATCGGTATTAGAGCACCTGTTAATGTCTTGTGCGTTCATGGCTGCAGAGTTGGAAACTAACAAGCTGCACATGTACATGTGTGATATGCCAGCTTTTGTTTGAGACAATTTTGAACATGTTGTTATCCGTTTAATCCTCTTGAGTTTAAAAGAAGCAGCAGTGTGCTTGGCGAAATAAATTGTGTAAGAAGTAGAACGGTCATTCAAAACCAGCCGCGAGTATAAGCCATCCCATCCTTCACCTACATACGGCGGAGTGAGCTTTGTATATCATTGTATACACAAAAGGTGTCACGAACTTTTTCATATAAAATGCTTGCAATGTTTTATATAAGTTGTTGCGTACAGTTGGCCAGTTTTAAAACTTCCTTCAACAACTGGCTGTACATGCAGAGATTATACAAGGAGCAGTGAATGGAGTCGGAGGAAGGCAATCGCAAGTCTTCGATGACAGACTTCCCAGAGGGAGAGTATCCACCGCTCAAGAAGCCCAGGTCAGTGCCACTATTCTCATTGTCCTTTGCTCTACTGCTCTGTGAGCTCTCTGTAGGTGTTGCCTTCAAAACTGGCAGTATCATGGCCCTGTTTACGTGCACCCATCGCACCATTGATACAGACTAGGATCATGTTCAAGGACTGCGTTTGACCGTGTTTCCCTGTGCAGTATTTCTACAAACTGCATATATTGCAAAGGTGATCTTAGGAGCTGTTGCTGTAGATTTCCTCTTACGGGGAACTTATGGTGTTTAAATGAAATGTGTGGGATTGGTCTGCTTATCCAGTTGATGGACATTAAAATAATTATTCAAACTGCATTGCTACCTTCATCATTACAGTACATTTGTATGTACTGTACAACAAACCCCTAATATGCGCAGGTGATACGTTCCTGGAGATCTGGTGCGAATATTATACCTGAATATTTATACTCAAAGCTTTTGATGAAAATAGGGTTAGAGTGCAGAAACATATTATGTTTAAATATAAACTGTACGTATATGTTAATGAATACATATTTCCTGACTTAAAGCTTTCGTGACTTGCAGGAATTCATATTCTTTGGGTCTTTCGGTAAAGTCACGTAGATAGGTTCAAAGGAAATAACAAAAAATGTTCAAAGAAAATAACAAAAAAAATCTCTTTGAACTTTACCGAAAGACCCAAGAATAATACATATATCGTTCTGTATTGTGTTAAATTACGTTAAATAATCATGCGAATACACGTTTAACAGTGCAAATATCAACGACCGTGCTCTCACCGTCAATGCCACTGCCAAGCCTCACAGTACTCTACTTGTTGAGTAGTCTCGTGCTACGGCCCACGAACATTTAAAACACGACCCCAGGAATTTGAAGTAGCACAACAATGAATTTGCCACAAATACGCGAAAACCGCGATTATTAAACACGCAAATACTAAGGGTTTACTGTATGTATAAAATATGCAATCATTGGATGTGCTGCTGAACACAGCTAAGATTCATGACACGATTCTATTTTTTGCCAGTGTAAACTGTGAGTCCCCAGATAACATGCGAGTGCCTGCTGCAAAAACGCTACGTCTGCGATTATGGTGTTAGGATAAAACATTTACCCCGACGTTTACAGAGATTGCATAAAGGTGGTGAATGGTTGAACGCAATGTATTATTTTACTCCTACTATGTAAGCCACCTGGTGCATTTGTTCATTTTGAGCATTTTTCCCAGGATGCACGGCTGAGACGTAGCATCTGGTTTTCACTGCGGTCGTTGTGGCAGCACTGGGGTCACATTCCACCGCAGATAGAATGGACAGTATGTTACAAACTGAAGTAACATTCTTTCTGACTTTCAGTGAATGTTTCAGATTAATGCTCCCTGACAAGAGGTTAACTTTTAATGGCAATACAGGAAATTTAATTGGTAAAAATTTTCCATGATATTTTCAAAGGGCTTGTCATACGATTCCACTGACAGTGTTGTGCAGCCAGTTGCCCTCAATCAATGTTGACAGCCCGTTTGAGAATGCCAGGCTCTTTAAATAGTTACTTTCACTGTCACGTGGCCTTGCGGTGCTACAGTTAACTTTTTTTATTTTGTACATGTGGTAATTGGCTTGTTAGTTCTTTGCTTCGGTGCATCCAATTGTAAATTGTCATTTGGCACGTATGATGAGTTAACCACAGGTCTGTTTTGTTGTCCACTGCAGCTGAATACTATGCAGTTAATCGTGAGTCTTATTAGGAACTACACGATTAAAACAGCACGTTGGTGAAAATGCCATTAAAGTATCCAAAACAATAAAACGTAGGCACAGTGCCCAGAAATGTACCACAGTAAGATGGCCTTGTGCAGCCAAGCAGCAACTATACTTGCTGCAACCATTTACTTGCCGAGTCAAAACTATGATGTCATTGTTTACAGCCAAGCAAACCCTGGATTATTACAAGTGGTAGTATGAGGTGATTGTCACAAGTAGGTGGGTAAAGTGGGTTTTTTTTTACCTCTGTTACCTTTTGCCATATGGCTCACCAGGTTTTGAGTTTTACTAAAAACCTGTTGTAAATTATACTTAAAATAGGAAGGTTATTTCGTTTTCTTGTACCCTTTTTTACGATGATATGTTTGTACCGTAGTTTCATTAACCTTGTGTGTTTGTGTACATTAATGTAAATAGAGTTTGAGAAAATTTGTATTCTTAAATATGAAAGTATTTGAATACAGTGGTACCTCGGTATATGTCGTTAATTCGTTCCAGAAGGTAGGACTTATACCAAAAATGACGTATACAAAACTAATTTTTCCCACAAGAAATAAAGGGAAAATAAATAGTTATTCCAGAGTATAAGAAATTATATTTTATATGGCATATACATTAATGGGGTATAAAATAATTTAGACACTACTTATTACTAAAATGCATACATAAATTTAAATAAATGCTTAAATAAATTAAAATAAATGGAAATAAAAATCAAATTTTACATCACTTTACCTTGCTGAGAGGAGTTGATAGCCTACGAGGATGGTGGTGAGGAAGGGGAGGAGGAGGAGGAGGAGATATTATTTGGAAGGAGAGTCCTCTTCCATTAAAACTTCAGGAAGTTGAAATTCTGGGGTTTTTTTTCTCTTTTCTGTCTTTTTTCTTGACTTAGACCTGGTTGAGGCTCACCAGCTTTGAGTTTTACTAAAAACCCTGTCCATTGAAGTTTGTTTTTGCCTTCTTCTAAGAATGTTCCTGAAGTGTGACATTGTCTGGTCATTCCACACACTACTGTTACGGCTTGTTAGAGCTGTAACAGTGTTGTGTACGCGGGCACTGTACGCGGTGACTCATCCCGACCCATACAAGTTCTAGCAAGCGAGGCGCCGTATCCCAAGCAAGACGTCGAATCCCAAGACATTTTTTTCTCGTCAAAACACGACGTATACCAAATTTGACGAATTCCAAAGCCGTTGTATCCCGAGGTATGTGCAAAAACAATATAGTGTCAAGCAGTGCTGATGACACGTTTCTGTTAGGTGACCCCCTTATTTAGTCAGTTTAACACGTAAGCTTTCGCGGCCGATATCCATAATAAAGGTTTTTCTTATTAGATCCCGTGAATAATTACTTATATTATATTCACGCAATCTTACCCAAAAAAAACCCTTTAGTGTCAAAACTAACCACGGCCTATAATAAATAAGTCACACAGCCATATATTTCCTGTTGCTATATACCCCTATACCATGCCCATTATTCTGTAATGTGCACTGAAGCCTACTTTATTGAGGGTGATATTGGCACGTAAAATAAATATTGGTTGATTGATATACAGGCTTATATATACTCAATATGGAACATAACATCAGAAATAAAGATTGATTGATAATGCTCACATACACAGGCAATTGTAGACATAAAACCACTTAAATGTAAACAAGTGCACACATGAACATGCATAACTACAGATAGTCCCCGAGTTACGATGGTCCGACTTACGATATTTCGATCTTGCGATAGCGACACGACAAAATTGTTAAATATTTTAAATTTCGCGCGGCAGGCAAACGCAGCAGCGTATGAGGTACGATACTGTATGCTGTTTTTGTTTTATAGCAGATAGGATCGTTTCCTGAAAAAAACTTTCTATTAAATTGCAGTTCATATAGGTAGGCTAAGCAGTTACCTTGTTTTTACTTTAAATTTTACTGTGCAATACATTATTGTAATTAATAAATACATACAGTATATAGTTTATACAGTACAGTACTGTAAATTGCTCTGTTTTGCTAAATTATCACCATTCTTTAAGACTTCCGGGTAGGCTAGGCCATCTTCGACTTACGATATTTTTTACTTACGATGGGTCATCGTAACGCATCTCCATCGTAGATAGAGGACTACCTGTATACATTTAAAATGAAACGTACATGTACACATGAAGACAAACCTCCACATTTGCACATAAACACAAGGAGGAGGAGCACAGGGAGAAAGACGTGACTAGAGAAGCGAGGAGAGTCAATAGACAAGAGATGAGAGAGATACAAGGTGAAAATGGCATGGATAGATTGGAATGTGAAAAAGTGAAAGATGGGGAGAGGATTAATAGACAGGGAAAGACCGCCACGAGGAACGACGCTTGTATGCAGACACGTGGAGAGAAATATACATCGGGCACAGAAACGATAAATCCGAGGTGAAGGGGACACATTGCGAGATGGGAGATAAACGGATCTCCCATGACCCCCATGCGTGGATTTTTACAAAAATACATTTTGAGCTGGTGAAATAATATTGGTTTGACAAACGAATTCATAAAAGGCAGTTCTGTACAACTTAGCACACAAGGGCCACTTAACATCAGTTCCGCTTTTCACCGAAATATATAAATTTTGTATAATAATTTTGATTGCATTCACTCTTTCTGTCAAATGGTATACAATTTAATTTAAAATAAATGTCATGTTAATTTTACTATTTTTTGTCACGTAATTAAAATTTCTATATGTGTATGTCAAATCACGTTACCTGAAAATTTTCGAATCCATCTTCGTTGCTATTGTAGTGGCATGAAATGGGTCACTACGTAGCATAGTGCGAGTTGTTGGCAGAGACGGGGATCTGCAATTGCAGCAGCCCTGTCTGTCAGCAGGTCGCGTGATAAGCCAGAGAGAGGGATGTAGGGGAAAGGTGATAGAGGGGGCATGTGAGGTAAGCCCGGGAACCCACGAGTCGGTTCTAGAAGGGGGGCATGGCCGGGGGGGAGCGAGGCCACGCTGGGAGGATAAAAGGGGACCCCGAGCAAAAGCTCAGGGCTGTTGCCTGGGGTGGGATCCCGTTGTGCTGCTGGAGTCTTCGTCACCGTCTACGTCTTCACCACCATCTCGGCGTCGTCAGGCAGTCTGCCGGCTGTCCTGACTGAGAGCTGTAGTTACCTCTTGCGAACTGTGAAGGCTATTAATATAAAGAGTGCCTTCTACTCCTAGTGTCTCCGAGTGCGTGACTACACGATGATGGACGAACTTTTCCCATTCATTTATTTAACAAATTTGAAACAATGCATATAATTGTCATCATTGGATGTATTTTTTTCCCCTTGGTAGGATTTTATCCAAATGCAATGTACACTAAATGACCAAAGCATGACCAATACACACAAACATATGCTATATTTGCATCCCCAACTGCATAGCATATATGAAGCAACATGATTGGCACATTAATGAACAACCCAGAGAGCAAAGTTGCATATCATATTATTGGGCTACTTTCCCAAAGATTGGTTGGAATATTTTAGCTCGCCTGTGGGTCTTGCATTGTTTACTGTGTGTCAAGGGCTGCATTTGCAAATGAGACCTTTGCAGCTGCAAGACATTCTCTTTGATAGTTTATTTTTGTCTGTCCTGTGAATGAATGTTTCCTGCTCTGTCCATTTGTGCTCAGAGCCTACAAATGCTGATTCTCACAGAGTTATCAAGATAATGGAGTCTTTTGGTAATTTAAAAGACAGTCCTTGTATTATTTGTTAATAAAATAAATTTAACAGCTACACAGCCTCTTTACTTTTCCTGTCTGGGTGATTCTATTTTCACTAATTTTGTGTATTTTATTTAAATTAAAAGAAAAAAGTGTCGTTTTAATGAAGCCAGTTTTATTTTTTGAATGTAAAAATATATAATATTGGTGGTGTGGGTATAGTGTACATAATATGATGTAAATAGTATTACATTAATATTCAGTCTGATGCGGCCTTCATTTTCACCATATACTTTTCTACATGGATTTATAGCAATTGTGTAGTGTATTTTATTTGGTTTGGATGAATAAGCACAGTGGCATCTTCCAATGCAATAAATTGGTTTCTCAGTTAAGGAAATGCAGGAGTGATTTTTTTGTGGATATGAATTGTACTCTTAAGCGGAATGAATTGAATACACGTGCAGCAATTGCGTGAGTAGAATAGCCGCTTAAGGCCGTTACTTGTAATTTTGTGCTACTTGTCCTTCGGCCATTAGTGTACCTCCTGTAGCGTCTTATTTAATTGCGATCCTTGTTTCAATGGGAATTTGTTACATTAATTTATACGACACTTCTGAGATTCTGAAAATACTCTTATTATTGTGGTTTGTCTTTCCACACCACTGAATATTCTAGAGCCAATCCTCAAGGCACTCGCTACAAAGCTTGTGCCAGCATTTTACAACAAGCTACAAACTTCTTTGGTTATTTCGGTAAAGTCACGTAGAATTAGAATAAAATAATAAATTGATAAAATAAAATCAATTTATTGTTTTATTCTCATTCTACGTGACTTTACCGAAAGAACCAAAGAAGATGAATCATTGCAGTCACGAAAGCTTTAAATCGAAAAGCTACAAACTGCTTATTTCTAAGGAGATGACACTTCAATAGCACTTGAAAAATGCCAGGGCTTAGCTTTGAAATCCATTAAGTTATTTTGTATGCTGTTGTTTAGTGCAGGTTGTAAGTAGCATGGTCATCCAGATTGAAACAAATCATAGGTATGGGTTTCTGTACCAAAAAATACCCAAAGAATAAATTACTATTGATATTACTAGGGGTTGTTCGGGGGCACCTGTGGCGCCCCTCAACCATTTACGGCCTTCGGCCAGGAATGTCACGAAAAAAATTGCACACGAATGACACATTCACGCAAGCACCCGATGCTCCGTTTTGAAGTTTTAAAATGAAACATTTTAAATTGTATTATGTTTTGAATTAGATGATTGTATTTCTTCATTAAAAGATTATCATTTTACATATGGAATACTTAATTGAAAACGACATTTTGTGTGAATTTCCTCTCGTCGTTAAGTAAATGGCCTTGCTGGGGGTTTGCTTCGATGCGGACTTTCACCCGCCGCTCTATAGCCCCGCCAAGCATTGGTTGGCTGCTTGGTCCCGGTCACGTGACACACTTAAACCAATCCGTGCCACGTTAGTCACAGGCTCAGAATCACAGAGATGGGTGTTTATATATTAGGATTGGATGAAGCAAGGACATTGAGACGTATGGAACAAGATTCATTTTGGATGTTTATGCCTGTGGTGACAACATAAATAGGCCTTCATACAGCAATGAATATAGAATGATGCATGTGATGATATCAAAAGTATATGTCGGTAGAATGGTACTGTAGGTAGGCAGGCAGACACAAGTATGTCTGTAAGTAGGTAGCCTTAAACCAAGTGAGAATCTATGGAGATTTCATATAGCTTTTTCCAAATAGGAACGTGTGGTAACATTTAATTGACAACACAAGTGCAAAGTTACAGCATAGAGAATTGTTGTCATTAGCATTGCTATTATATTGCCCTCAGACCAGGCTGTGGAGAACTGAGAGCACTGAAAACACAGCACATGATGACTCTGTGGTCTGGCTCGGCCGAGGTTTACTTACGTGAGTAGTAGCATTGGTATTGCTGTTTTGTCATTGCCAATTAGAAAGCTGCTGCCCAGCCTGAAGCTGAAGCTGCCGCAGGAACTGGTGCTGGTCATTGGCACAGGTATCAGTGCAGCTGTGGCACCGCGTGTACCTGCCCTGCAGTCCTGGAAAGGCCTTATCCAGGCCTTGCTCGACGCTGCCTCAGACTTCGACCTTCTCGAGGAGGAGGAGAGCCGCCGCTTCATGCGATGCTTGCGCCAGGACAAGAACCTTGTACATGTCGCGCACGACCTCATACAGAAGCTGTCTCCTGTAAGTATGGGGGGGGGGGGGGTGTGTCATGCCGCTTGTAGCAAGCATGAGGATAGTTGCCAACTGGTCAAGTTGTGTGTGTTTTTTGGATGAATGCTTTGTGATATATAAATATTTTGTATTTATCATGAGTCAAACCTGATCCGAAACAGGACAAATGTGTCCGTGAATATTACGATGTACTATAATACTCCAAATCAACCATGATTCAAGGCCATGAAGTGCATTATTAGGGTTCAATAATAATAATAATTATTAAAGTGTCTAAATAGGGTTCAATAATTACATATTTACACACCAATGCCTCAACTTAGTCTCAATGCTTTGGGCTATGTGGTTAAATTGTGGCTATTTTTTGCATGTGGGATGAAACAGACATGCCAGGACAAAATGCGCTCATGTGATGGATTAAATCCAAAAACTTCTGCACAAACAAATACTTCCACCTTACTGTTCCTGCCTGGGAATGTCTTCAATGCTTCTCTTCTGTATGTATGTTTGCTAAACTTTTTTCGCACCGTACGTAGCCAAACTTGCTAATGAGAGGTTCTCGCGTGTTGCAGCGAACAGGAAATGTTCGCTCCACCTTCTTCAAGGACTGCCTCTACGAGGTGTTTGAGGGCCTCGAGAGCAAAATGGAGGAGGTAGGCAAGCGTCTGCTGCAGTCCGTGCTGCGGCTCATGGAGGACGGTGCCTTGGCCCTCACCACCAACTTCGACAACCTCCTGGAGATCTACGGCACACAGCGCGGCAAGACCCTCGAGTCTCTCGACCTCAGTGATGAAAAGAAGGTGATGTTAGCTAGCCCCTCTCTCGGAGTTCATTTTCGCAGCGTGGACTATGGCAATGCTGGCCAGTGTAAGCAAATAAAATGTCTTTATTTGGGAACGGGTGGTGGTCGTGAGAATTCTAACAACTGTTGAAAAACATTGTTTTCGTCGTGAGAAGTTGAGTTGATTGCGTGATTTTTGTCTCGATTGATGAGTTACGTTATTAAAGAGGTCCTAATATAATAAGGTTCCACAAAACAGCCAGTGAGGTATGAGGAGGGTGGTGGGTGTGTTGGTTATACATCGACTGCATATGCTGAAAATGCAAGTACAGTCGCTGATCCGGTTGTATATTTTTGTGCAGTCACAAATGACAGCACAACAAAAATCACGGTAAATGTTGTTAGACACTTTGGTTAAATTCCAGCTCTGAGAATTAAAATAAGGGTTTGACTCATCTGATGAACCTTCCTCTGATTGCAAAGCGAATGGGAAGTGCTGCCCTCTACTGTGTGTGGGCCAGAAGTCACAAAGGGATCTCGGGTAGCTCTGTAATATCTGCTTCCGTGGGCCGTTTTCCAACGCAATGGGTTGCACTGCTCTGTTAGAGATCTTAAAAGATACATGATGCCAATGATACAATAAAATTGGGTAAAATATTTTTAAATTTCTTTTAATTAAGATTTCCTCTTAGCACAGACAAGTAGGTAAATTGAAAAAAACTAAAATGTAGAATCAGAATCTACTCCAAATCATGCTTCGCTATTTTTCTTTCTGATTATCGAGTTGTAGGTTCTTATCAAAATAGCCCCTTGAATCTCTGCCGATCCTCATCCCCTCATCATTGTGGATGGGTCCTTGTCTGTGCCCGGCAGGTGTTGGAGTGGGCACAGGGCAAGCATCCACTGAGTGTCCTGCATGTGCACGGCGTTTATACCAACCCCAGCGGCATTGTGCTGCACCCCGCCGGCTACCAGAATGTGCTCCGCAACATTGACGTCATGGTGAGCCCTTCCCTTGAGCTCCTAGTGAACTTCTGCGCTTTTCTGGGATAACGTGGGCAACATGACGTTTGATGTGCGGTCACGTTTGGTTAATTTGTAATTGTATAAGTCATACGCCTGACTGACATCGCTTGGTCTTTAATTTGGATCTTATTAACCACATTGGTAATTGGCATAAATAGGTGGCAGTTACATATACACTGTACGCACGGCCAAATTATCCTTGTGATTACTGGGATACTAGGTGTTATAGCCTCAGGCTATAACAGCATTTGATTTTTTAAATGTAACTGAGCAAAAACTCAACACATTTTACAATAACGCTTCCTTGAAAAGAAACGTATAGTGCTGAGATTTGAGTGTTATCCCCTTGTCGTGTGTGTGGGTTTTCTCTGGGTGCACTGATTTACTCCCACATCGCACTCGTTAATGGGATTCGGCATACCTCTGCAATCACGACCGTTTTGTAAAAGAGTTGACAATGATGCCTTTGTATGTACATAAAGGGTATTTCTAAAATCTATGTATATACGCTCTTAATCATTCATAAGTGGCTCGATTTGACTTAATGAGGAAATATTTAATGTCAATATCTGTCATGTTTTGCTTTACTCCTTCGCTTATATTCATTCCTAAAGACCGGAGGTTCACCAATTAAACCCAGTGGCAGAATAGTCTTATTATTGCTCACCTGCCCTTTAATTTTTCTCGTGTATGTTTACTTTGAATTGCTGCATTGTTTAAAGACCCCCAGTTGTTATCCCAGTTGCGAACACAGCGAACTCACTTGGAATCTGTAGCCAATTTCATATCTTAAGGGAACCACTTTCATTCGGTCAACATCTGTGTCATTAAAAAATGTTTTTATAGAACGTGCATACAATGATCGGCTTATATTCTTAGCTCTTTCGGTAAAGTCACGTTGAAGGGAAACAATTAAATAATAAAATATATAACAATTACACTTTATATTTGTTTTATTGTTTCCCTTCAACGTGACTTTACCGAAAGAGCTAAGTATATGAATTACTGCAGTCACGAAAGCTTTAAATCAAAAATGATCGGCTTATTTATATTCACCGATGGCTTGTGCGCCTCTCTCTTTGACGGGCTTCCGTTTTAGATTTTTGCACATGCGTATTTTTTGGACACGTGTGTTTGGACGTGTGAGACAGCGTGAGATCCAGCACCTGTACGAGAGCCGGTCGTTCGTGTTCCTGGGCTGTGGTCGAACAGTCGATGACACCACTTTCCAGGCGCTCTTTCTCGAGGCTGTCAAACATCGCTCTGACCTTGAGGTATTATTGAGGGTTGCACTCATGACACACAACAAAGTGCTTGCCACAAATGAACCACATCCCTTGCTGGTCTCGTCAAGGAGCATAAATCAATCGCACCACCTCCGGTCATCCCCGCAGCAGCGGCTTTTCGCGAACCCCATCGAACAAAGATGGTTACTGCATAGCACGCTTTCAGATGCGCTTCTGCGGCCGTCTGGACCGCACTTCCGATATTAGGAAGCCACGGGAGCTATGCACTTTTAAATGTACATTGAAAAGTAATTTCTTTAGAACTTCTTTTTGTCTTTAGTATTTTGGCCTTCCTCTCACACCGCCGATTAGTATGGTTGGCTATGTACGGGTGCGAAAGAAGTTCAAAATATACATACATCATGTTAGTTTACTTCGAGATTTTGGTAACTGAGCTTTTCCATTTGCACTTGCAGAACATTGCTTAACATCCATTATCATTACCACACATGCTGCCTTACAATTAGAAAATAGTTACTCGAATGCATCTGGAAAATACCCTATCTCCAAAATAGATATGTTACATATAGTTTTAAATGTTTTACAACTTAGAAAAAAGTGGGTATAATGAATCGTATTGCATCAGCAAATACTAACTAACAAACACTATGCAAATACGAATAATATGCATGAAGAATATAATAGAAAATTAAATCAAACACTACCTTTGTGTTATTTGATGCACTTTTATACCACTGGCATCTAGTTTTGTAATGAAATGTATTGTTTTTGACTAAAGTTGGCATAAAATGGAATTAAACATTTTTTTTCTCATAAGTGGGCTCTCTGTCACTTAATTGGGTCTTAATTTGAATCCTTGATTGATTCCCCACCCTCTCCCTCCCATAAATGATTTTACATAACAGTAAATTGACAATTAAACCTGTGATTTTAACAAACTCGCAGCACTTCATGCTGGTGCGTCGGGAAGACCCAGAAAGTTTCAAGAAGCTGCGCGAGAACATGCTGGACAAGGGCATCAAGGTCATCTCATACGGAGACGAGTATGAACACCTGCCAGAGTACTTCCAGCGCCTCGCCACTGAGATTTGCCAGCGGGGAAGTGCAGGTGGGAGCAGTGGATGAGTGGAAGATGTATTCTTGTTGAACAAAAACTATTGGCTTGTGGCTTTGTAATATTTACTTACGATTACTGTCGTCAAAATGACGATGGCTGTCGCATAAACTTTTGAGTTGGTGGTTTTGGTATCCTTTGTTTAATCTTTTGTTTTTAATGTATGGTCTTTGAGATGCAGGATCATTCTTGGATTAACGAACCATTCCGGCTGACATAGGTCCTTCTGCAGTGACTGCAGGGGTGATGTTAACATTGGGCACACAAAATTAAGCTCGCTGACTTTGTTTACTTTAATCAGCCCGTCTTCCCTGTGGGTGGGGGAGTCAACAGGGGATGCCCTATGTTGAGGCTCACCCCTGCCAAAGGAATATGGAATTTCCACTATTGGCTCAGGGCTGTAAACGGGAGATAAGTACTGCTGCTCATTTGAGCATGAGATGTCTGAGCTTGTTTTTACTTTGTTCATCGAGCATTTACATTGACATATAATTATGATGATAATTCATTTGGACTCGGGTGAGTATGGAGACATTTATCCAAAGCTGCTTCATAAGAATTCACCTTCCATTTCGGTGTTGCTGCTTGTATTGCAAGTGTCACAGACATTTTGCGAGGCAAGCGCCAGTGTTAGAAGGGTTTCATTTAAAATGTTAGGTCATTGGTGCATTACTCAGCCTATTAGTGTGAAGCAAAGTGGTAGTTTAGGGTAATTAGTGGATTGGCAACAAAAAAAACATTACTTCCTGCCTACCTGCCTTGGTGTATTTCTCCACATGGCTGTGTGCTCTAATGCATTACAATACTGTGCCTAAATACTATCAAATGGTTAATTGATTAGATTAGTAATGTTACCACTTATCACTTTTGTGGCTTCTGGAACCAGACGAATTTTGGGCTTATTCCTTAATGGATAAAAATTATTAAGCAAGGTGTGAAATATTTAACAAAGATATCAATGCATTAAACAATAGAGGCTACTGTGTATGGTTTAAGTACATAAACTATAGTCTTGGAGAATCTGTCATTAAATGTGTTATGTATGAATGTATATTTTATGTGTATTGGTGCTTGTTCCTTATGTATAAATAATGTAAATGTAAAAATGATTCAAAAATATTTTTTATATGTATATATAAAAAAAAGTTGTATTCTTCACTAACAATTGGGTGGAGTTTCTCCCATGATCCAACAGTCACCATTGTTGCCAGGTGTTACTGACTTTTAAGCCAGCCATGGTGATCAAAGCCAAATGATGATCTCTGAGCCTTGCTGTAATGTGGTTTGTGAATGGGACACAATAGTGATGTAATCTGTGTATCAGAACAGCGTGCTTACTGCTTTAAATACACAAATGACTCGTTTTAAATGTTGCACCCAAAGTAATCTTGGAAAAAGCTATCTAAAGCACAGTGCACGATGAGCTGTCATGCTGGTAATTACCTGAAGTTAAGTCTTGCCCACATGATTTACAGCTCTTTCATAATTGGAGCAGGTCGTTAATAATGGAGACTTAGAAGGCGTGGGTGAGAGACTTTGGTGAAATGGTATAAATTATGTTTGGTCATGTTGACACCTGCGCATTTCCTTTCAAATTAGTGACGATTGATTTGAAATGTTTTGAGAAAATAAAATAAAGGCATTGGCGCCTGATTCTGTAACTACACCAAGAATCTGAGAGTGGTAACAGGCATGTGAGTAGCTCTTAAGCATGTCCCCTGCATGAGGTATTCTCGTTGTGTGGGTTTCAGCCAAAAAAAAATATACTTGAATGCATGAAGACCTGCTGTTGACTGACACTGGAGTGAATGTGGGTTAAACAGTTTGAGAGGGGACACTAGCAAGCTTTCGCTATCCTGTCTTGCAGTATCGAAGGTGACAGAGAGGTATTATATTACCACTGAATAGGAGAATAGGATCACAGATATGTGTAAGTAATTTGGCACAATGCCGATCATCTCAACACAATACAACAAAACTTTATTCTCCGTGGAATAATGCAAACACATAGAAGAATGGTGGGTGTAATGTCTCATGCAGGAACTAACAATCATTGCCTGCCTTCATAGCAAAATTAAATAACATGTGCCTGCCCAAAGCAGAATGTAATATGCCGCAGTTTCAAAATAATTTTTTTTTATCTTGTCCACATGACAGCTTTTGACTGTGGTGCCGACTAGTGACAATGATGACAGGCCTGTTTTAATTCGCATTGAATTTTGTTGCAAAGTTGTTTAAACAATGTTTATGCTATTACTCTGCAGATCAATGTTCCCATTTCGATGCTTTCCATTCCTAGTGGTTCTGATTGGAAGGCACACATTTTTTCTGTGTTCCAGTATCAGGTTTTTCCCCTTTTGGTCACCCTCACAGTACTGTACCCTCTTTCATATCTGCAGTAGGATACGCTGAATGCTCCAGAAATGTTTAGGTGTTAGTAAATTCATGTTTGAGGGTACACACTGTTGGATTTTATATTATTTTTAAGTAATCCTAACTTTCGGTAAAGTTACGTAGAAGGGAAATAATAAAATAATAAAAATACAACTATTTTATTCTTTTATTTTTAAATAAAACAATTTTATTCTTTTTATTATTTTACTACGTGACTTTACCGAAAGAACCAAGAATATGAATCGAGAAAGTTACAATAATATCAGCTTGCATTGGAAACATTAATTTATGCTGTCATATTGTAACAAAATATCCAATTGAGTTACTTAATTGGTCACCTTGAACAATTAAATTGGCTTTAACACAATGTGATTGAGTGCATTTGTGTGTATTAAGGACCATTGTCATGATTCCTTAAGGTCGTGTTGTTTGTTTGCATGTGCAGCCGCTAAGCTTGACAATGGAAATGTGGAGCTCTCCAGGTCCCAGCCTTGTTGCTACACAGGTATGTTGTATTCAGTTGTGTATTTCCAAGGCAGTTTTGGTCTGTTGCAACCAAGTTGTTTAGGAACCATTCGAAATTTAAGATTATTTGAAAGTGTGTCTTGTTAAACATTGTTTTGGAAAAACTGACTTTAAATGACTGCCAACTTATAGATTATAATTTATAACCTTTACGAGTCTCTCCCAGGTGTGTGGTATGAAGCATGTGGACACCTGCAGCCACTTACAAATGAATCATGTCGCGAGACCAACTCCCAGCTAGCCGTGTCTCAAATAATTGTGTTTCATGAACACACCCAAATTCCCCTACGAGCGTTAAAACCACTAATGCCTTACTGCCGTTACATTCACGATGCTAAGCGTTAATACACCCGTTGGATGTTTAAAATTTAAATGACACGGGTGAGTGGTGCAACCAAACAGAGGGAGTCGCTGATCCAATGTCGGGTTCGTTCCTCCCATTGGTTGTGGCAAATGAAGATAATGAACAATTGTCAGTCACAGCAAAACATAGAGTTTTTTGCTCGTGTTATAAAGAAGTTGGTGTTATAGGGGAATATATCGAGAGAAAATGGGAGACTTGGCATTTTGTATTCATTCTGCTGTTCTGATAGAAATTGTTCATCTTTTTTCCCAGTTTTTATAAAAAAATGTTATATATTGCAAACATCTATAATCGATTTCAGATCTATCTTTTAAAATTAATTTTAAGTACTTAAGTAGTTTTTTTACCTGTTCCTGTACTGAACAGTAGTTGCATTATATTTACGGTTCAATTAATGTTAAACAATTCCCATCGGTGATGTAAACATGTAAGCGCAAACATTACCCAATGATAATTGAGATGTTTTCACTGACTGGTGTCTCTGAATCAGCAATGTAAATTTCCACGTCACACTTCTGCTTTTCACTGCTGTTTATAGGAAACAAGTTTTGTTTTCATTTTTCATAGGTCCCATAGATAGTGTACATGTGTTGCACCAATTGAGAGGCAGTGGTTTCTCACAAGGGGGGGGGGTGCAGCTTCACGAAGTAGTGCTTATTTTATTGATCCTGGATGCATGATTTGCTCATTTGATCCTAGCTGGGATTTAAACTATTGATGTTATAAAGGGAGCACTACTTCTCTATCAACAGAGCTAATGTTTAAAATAAATTCGAGTGTTTTGAATTACAAATTATTTTACTGTGTTATGTCTTTCAGAATTCAAAACGGAGGTGAAAAGGGAAGATTGTGTGAGCAGCGATCAGCAGTGATGAGTCAAGATCTGCTGTGGATAAAGAATCCAATGCCTCGTAGCGGCAGGCTGCTTTTAGCACATGACCAAGAGGCACGTGGGAGGGGGGGGTTATGATGACTAACAAAGTGGTCACGGGATAAACTCTTGTTGTCAGCAGCTCTTTCTCCTATGTCAGCGGTTGTCCTGCTGTATCGGTACCACCTGATAAAGGTCGCTTGTGTCGCGATCGAAACGTCGTGATTTATTTTATTTCTAACTACGTGACTTTACAGAGAGAACCAAAGAGTATGGTCACGGGATATGGGCTGGGAAGACAGGTGGGTTATAAGCATGGACTGATTATTACAGGTGTTGAGGATTGAGACAGAGGTGCAGGAGGAGGGAGAGGCAGGAACAAGTTTTAAGGGGTCAAGCTGTGAACTGAAATAAAGCCGTGTGATGGAATCGAGTTGATGAAAGACTTTAGCATGAGAACAGGGTGCCTGCCGTCAGCTCCGATTAATGTGAAGCCACCACACCGAGACTGCCCCCAGTTCACTGCTGATGTGTGGGGCTGCATGCACGACTTTGTACCAGCTACACTGTCATACAATACTTCGGAAAAGCCTGGCAAAGCAAGAACGATATACGTACATTTGCTCATAATTTTTTTTTCAAAAAATGTTAACGTCTACAAGCAGGAATGCTTTTATGTTAAGGTGATGTATAATGCGGCGAGTGTAGACTACAACTTGTATAATTTGCTTAAATGCTCAGGTTCATGGTTGTGGCCTCGAACTCAAATGCAGAGTATACCTTCAAATGCTAAAGTAGCTCAAAGTTTGACGAGGGGATTTTTACTGAATAAGCGTATGCTAAAATATGAATTTGTAATGGAAAAAAACAGGGTCATGCTTTTAAACGTGTTAATCCTGCAAAAGACGAGCCAAGGCTCAACATGCTTCACATTTAAAGGATTTAAAAATGATCACTTGTGGTTGAGTCTTCTGCTGTCAAATCATCCATCAACCAATATTTTACAACACTTAGAGCCACACAAAAAGTTTTTATGGCTTTGTGATAAACTAAATTTTTTAAAGTTCCCTTGGTATACTTATTTGTTGTGTTTGATAGGGCTAATACTTGACATTGTATATATCAATTTATTAGGACCCAAAGGGACTGGTTTGTATTTAATGGCTACATTTTCTAAAGTATTTTCTGTTTGTATGTGCTGTTCGCATGTGTAAGTTTGTGCCAACCGTGACGCCTGCTTCATAAACGCATTTTCTGCAGACAGACTGAACAACAACTCAGCCTCTTGTCAATTCAAATACTCATTTCAAACAGTTGCTGCATTGTAGTTTTACATGCTGTAAGAATTGACGGTACAATTGTCATCTGGAAAATTGTCACTATATTTCCAGTTTTGTGAATTGTTTAACATTTGTTTAAATTGTTTAAATTCAAGGCAAACCGTTGCATTTGTTTTAGTGAACACGTTCACATTTGTTGACATGAAACCAATTATACACTGAGGACTTCAAAAATAATATAAAGGGATTTTTAAAACAAATTTAGACGTTTATAAAAAAAATAAGTGAAAATTCTGTGAACTTGCATTGTAGTCTACAAATATTTTTTTCATGATATATTAATACAGTATATGATGACAAAAAAATGTTTTAATATTTAAGCAGGAATTGTTTTGATCAGCGTTTGAGCTTTGTTGCAACCACTTTCATTTCCCTGCGTAGACTGCAAAGTAACTTGCAATTGTGTTTTCGCAGATACCCTTAGTGATTTGCATTTTCTGTATAGACTGACAAAATTATGTACATTAATAAAGAACCGTTAACAAATTGGCCAAACAGAATATTTCAATATGATAAACGTTACAACGTTACTAACTTTGTTTACATTAGATCCTTTGTAATGTAATTAGTCTTGACTACCTCAGTGTAGATATGGTTTTGCAGAATGAGATCACAAATGAAAGTAATTCTTAACAGTGTATAACTAGATTGAGTAAATGTTTTCTAGCCAGTTAAAGTGTGCAACATTTTCCGAATAAAGTATTTTTTAGAAATATTTGCAAGTACGTGCTCATTGATGTGTGCAATATGTGAATACACATCAAGGAATTGCTTTTTCAAGTCGCTTGTTTGTGTTATTTATTTCAGCAGGAAGTGCTCAATGAGCTTCTAGACAATTTAGATTGATGTCTTTCAGCTTGTGATTTTCAGAAATTAATCTGATGAAGTTTCCTAGAGTGCACGTGTTTCGTATTCATGCATATATTTAAAAGGGCTTGGGTCTCGTGACGAGTAACATGTTCGGTTTTTGCTTGCTCTTTGTTGCATAGCTGCATGCTCCATGTCAAAACACTAGAATGAAGTCATTGGTTCTAGAGTGCAGAATAGTATACAAATAACTTTGTGTATAAACATCACGGTATTTCTACTCTTAGCAGTGGGAAAGACATTGTATTGTTCAATCGTAGAATGTGCGTGTTGTATATAATGTTAGTGGGAAGCGGTAGTGTAGTGGTTAGTGTGCTACGCTATGAACCCGGCACCCCGAGTTCGATTCCAGCTTACGACCAATACCAGTGACGATTATCTAAACCAGTCCTCGGCTTCCCCTAGGTCGACTCGGCCTCAAATAATTACCTGGTGCGGTGTATAAACATTGCCGCTGGGGAGACAAAGACGGCCGAGCGTTGTGCTGGCCACCCACCCCCTCGTGTGCCGGCCTTCATAGGTGCTCGTTAACAGCGCTTGCCCCAACAGTGTTAATGCTATACGGGGGATCTTTGTTTATATGATGTTAAGAGACACCGTGTTTCTTCCCCATTGCAGACATCTCCCATGTTTCCAATTATATAATTGACACCACCGCTTTAACCCGGCTTAAAGTGGTGTTTCGAGCAGCATTGAGGGTTCTGGATTGAACTACCGTGCCTATAATGCCTTCCCAACGTTGTGCTGTCGTCAGACACTATTCTCCCTTTTTCTCGCCTATACCTGCTGCGTAATTTTTTGCAGGGCTTGAGAAAAGAAGTGCATCGTGAGTTATTATGAACCACGACTGGAATGGTATTGGAACTTGTTGCCGTATGCTGAACCCCAGTGTAATTATCGCTGCTCATTCCCAAGAAAGTGATGGTCCAGCGGAGTTGCAGTCATACTTTGGATTGCCTATCCCCAGTACCTGTAGGACACTCCCATTTTCTCTCAGGGCATTCAATTAAGTTGCCAAATGTAATTTCCTCCACCGATTGGATCTGATCTCAGATGCCAAGCAGTGTTATGGGGATGGGGTGCCCACCAAGAAAATGTTAGGTCACTGAGTGAGTGGCTTTTGATGTTTACAAGTGGCACTTCTCTGTCAGATTTTTTTTACCAATTCCCCAGGACAATCTTTAAAATCTAGATTAATCTTTAAAAGTTATGTAAAACATTGTTTAGAAATAAATGTCTGATTTTTCACGTAACTTCCAAGTGTGCCTCTAAAATTTGTACAAAAAAATCCAGATTCACTAGTGAAATGGCAAAAACACATTGTCTTCGCGATGTTTCCTCCTTGTTGGTTAACGTCTGCACATTTACACCAAAAATAGGCCAAAACGTAAATTGCCAACATGATTATTTATTTGCAACAAGAAAAGCTTAATTATTAAAATATCCCAACGATTACATTAATTTTCCAACTCCACAATTATCACCTGTGTCGTGCACATTTTACAATTCTGCCGAGTTTTCACGGCGAGCAAAGTAATTAACAAACTCCGAAAAGCCGCCGTAAAGTTTTTCAAATGCAGTCCCTTTGTGATTTTAAGAGCCGTGGGGGGGGGCACGTGAGAGAGAAGTGATGAATGTGCAAAGCGCGCACTCCCATTGAGCTTCGGTGGCCTGCAGTGTTCACTTGCCACGTGATCCTTGTTACCATAGGTACATGTACAGACTCCCCCCAAGCCATGCCTTGTGCAAAGAGCAAACAGAAAACGCATTTCACACCCCTTGAGTCTCACAATTGTTAACTATTCAAACTGACATGCTTTCGTGGACTCGGCTCAGTTCCTGGACCTGTGTTCAACGTAAGTTGGATTGGTGATCGCGTTATATGTATTATAGTTATTATTGGTTGAACAATTCATCTTTTCATTGTGCCTGTGTGAGACATGAAGAGAGCCCGATTTGTTTTAAAGGAGCTGTGTATGGTTTTTCAGTGTGATTTACATGTCTTATACAGTGCATTGTGTAGCAGATATTAATTGTTAAACTTTTAATTGATTGTGTACATTTAAATTCTGTAATAGCTTGAGTATGATTGCGCAATTTTAATTCGTATTTTAGGCTAGCATGAAGCTCTAAATGTTTACATGTATACTCACGACACTATATACTGTGTTTTTGAGTATACAGATGAGGATCACTTTCTGTCTTGCATATTGGGACACTAAATGTATGGTACGAGTGTTTTAAAGTGTATAAATTCAGTGCATAAACATCACTGCCTTAACATCACCGCATTAAAATATAGTGTACTGTTGTGTTCTCTGATGTATTTACTCAAATACAAAGTGCAGTACAATGTCGTTTACGATTTTACTTTAAATCATCTGTATTTACATCCTCACCCGAGGTTTATATGTAACATGATTTGATTACATGTTCGAAGTTGTTTTAACGTGTGCAGTATTTTGTTTAGAGCAAAGTAGGTCACGTAACTGTGTACGTGTGTAGTGAGTGTGTATATAGTGTGCGTGTGTGTATGTGTGCGAAACGTGGACCCTTTTGATGCAGTGGTTCTTAATTTGGAGTGCACGTAGCCCTGGGTATGCGAGATGCCTTTTCTGGTGGTGCGAGACATGGCCAGATTTTGTTTAGAAGGTAAAGCATCGAAACACAAATTGATGAGCACGGGCACGTAAGTACGACTACTTTGTTTAATCAAACCCTATGTATTTATTCACAAACATTTTTTTATGATTGAGAACCAAACGGGTGCAAGGCTGCAGTCAATGTTAAGAACCACTGCTCTAATGGAACATCTTCGCCGGTTCAGGCTTGCCAGTCTACGATCCATCTTGGGTTTAACCAGACTGGATTGTGAGCAGCTCTCAAATCCTTGAAGTAGCTGGACACAGTGCCATCGGTGAGCTCCTTCAGCAGGCAAGGCTGCATTGGCTGGGTAATGTAGCCTACATGTCCAGCCACTGCGTGGTCAAACAGCTTCTGTTTGGCCTGATAGAGGCGCGGCACAGGCTAGAGAAGAGATGGGCTGAGGTGGTCCAGGAGATGTGGAGCTGAGTGGATTTGCCAAAGACTGACAGAGGAGCTACGCTCACAACGAGTGGGGCGCCGGGCGGCTAAAATGCAGCAAGTTTACAAAGTCGGGCTCACAGCTGGTGCATCTGCCAGTCTTAATGAATCAACCCATGGCACCTGGATCCGTCCCGTGACCTGACAGCAAGCCATCGACAGTTCAAGTGGCCTCGAAGTGCACCTAGCCTGGCACAGGTGCCGTGGTGATGTTACCACCACTTTTTGGCGAATGGCGCCTGTTGTATGCGTTTGAGGGGGCTTCACACACACAAAAAAAACATCACTCTCATGGCCAACTGGCTTAGATTGATTCATAGATGTGGAAAGTGAATCTGGGCCTGTGTCGAGTCTCCCCGAGGTCAGCTCACTCTCATAGGACCCGAGCTTTGTGTGTGAATATCAGCACTGGGGGAAGTGACCTTGTGTGGATACTAGCCACGCCATTTCCTCACCTTTCAAGGTGGCCTTAATAGGCGCTCGCTAACAGCACTTGCCCCCCTATTGTCTGTCAGGCTGAACGGTGGATACAGTAATTGTGTATTTTGCATGTGCGTGTTTTCACTAGCAGTACAGCGGCTGCTTATTGAGGAGTGACAGTGCGGGTGTGCACCCTCTGTTGCGTTTACGCGTTGATGCTCGCAAGCGGGATGCTGAAACCCATTTGAGCATCCCAGAGAGCCACCCAGGACGATCTTCTAGTGAACCCCCTGATCGCTGTCCCCTGGAGGGTGGTATCCCCATGGCAATCCGGAAAGCAGAAAGGGAGTGGCTGGTGCTACAGGAAAGGTAAATATCTGCTTTGGGAGGGTTTTATTTCTCTCCATGAAACCCTGAAGCATGTACAGACAGCTCACACACACACGCGGTGAACTTAATGCCCTACTCACATTGTAGATGCACCCAAGCCGCTTGGATTTCTGAACTTTGCTTCCTCAGCGGGAAGCAATGGCCAGGTGGAATTGTATAGCGAAGTGACTCCCAACATTTATGGATGGGCGGATCACACTGTGAAAGGTGTCAGTTTTTGTGCCAGTTAAAAGAGTAAAAACCTTTTACTATATCTTGCTACTGGCAAAGGAAGTCTCATAATGTAAATACTCACCCCGAGCCCTCAATACTCTGATAGTGCGCTGTTTTTGAGTTGTACGCCTTTTTGGCATCATCTGGTCCAACACCAGTGGAGACTAGGCTCTAAGAAAAGCCGTCTCGGGTGTGGACCAATCAAATTCAAGGACTGCCAATATTATTATCAGAGTTGTCTCTTTTGTTTGCATTTTGACTGCTTGTGTTGTGGTTACTGCAAACATGATGCCTTGTATAAAGGTGTCAGTTTTTGTGCCAGTTAAAAGGGTAAAAACCTTTAATTACTACTACTAATAATTAGGTGTTTTATGAAAAATATCAGCAACAGTTCAGCGGACCACTTCCCACAGCCTTGCGGACCCACCCCATGGCCTGTTGACCACAGATTGCGAACCACTGCTAAAAACGTATGTCGGCATGTGCTGTACTAATCCCGTGCCTTACATTGCATGTTGAATTTCTTTCGCACCGTACCTATCCAACCGCGCTAATCGGAGGCGAGGGGGGAAGGACAACAAACTTAACACGAACAAGCAATTCTGAGGAAATGAGTTTTCAATCTAGATTTCAAGGTGCACAGCTCCAGTGGCTTCCGAATATCTGAAGGAAGAGCGTTCCAGACGGTCGCAGACGAGCATCTGAAAGCGCGCGATGCGGTGACCGTGTTTGTTCGATGGCCAGCCAAAAGCTGCTGCCAAAATTACTGCAGCTCGCGTGATCCATTGTTGATGGATGATGCTACA